CCAGCAGGTTCTTGTGCAGCTTGATGCCGCCCCGCTGGACCCGCGAGTTGTAGATCTTGCCCAGCGAGATGCTGACGATGCGGTGCGCCTCCAGCTTGAACTCCATCCCGCCTGCCGACCCTTCTCCCGGGGACGGGCGCGGGGGTGACGGCTGAGCCCGGGCTCCGGGTCACACGAGGGGAGAAGAGTCGGAGGCCTCAGGAAGTCGGCCCCAGAGGTGGACCCTCGGTAACTGAAAACGACGCCGAGAGACCGATTTCGATGACGCGCTCACTGACCCCTACGTCCCCTCCAGTGCAGACAATCGCCCAGCCTCCGGTCCGGTCGCTAACTGAGGGCAGCCCTACCGCCCGGCGCTTTATATAAGCTCCCCGCCCGCCAATCGCGAAGGGCCGCCACGCCCTCACGAGCTGCGCGCGGCCAATCGGAACCCGGGGAGGGGCGCCAGAGCCATTCGAACGTTAGTCCCGCGGAGCAGGCTCTTAAAGGAGACGCGGTGTGCAGACGGCGAGCGACAGGCGGGTGGGGGGCCTGGGCTCAGAAAGTAGGTGATGGGGAGGGGGCTTAGCCCCTGTATTGTTTGTAGGAAAAGGTTCTGGCTTGGGCGCTGGCTTGCCAGAACCAAAGCCAAACAAACCATTCGAACTTGCATCGTGCAGGTGGACTTTCCTCTGTGATCAAGTCCGGATCCCTTGCCTCATCACCCCACGCCCCGCCTGCATTTCCAAGGCGGCTCACACCTGAAAGGCTCTGGTCACCTCCGGCAGAAGTGGAGATGACAGCAAAACGTGGCAAGGGACACCCCTGGATAACAACATAGTATTACTGCACGGTATTTAGCAGATACTAATTTTGAACGAGTTCCTTGCCCCCTAGAAAATCTCTCTCTCTCTCTCCCTCTCCTCTTCTCTTCTCTCCTCTCCTCTCCTCTCCTCTCTTCTCTTCTCTTCTCTTCTCTTCTCTTCTCTTCTCTTTCTTTTCTTATCCCTTCACCTTTTTCACCCAGCACTGCAACCAC